TCCCTCTGATTGTCGCTATCTTAGTCGTTTGTACAGCAAGAGGCTAAAGAAATCCAACCTTCTTCCAAACTAAAAAGTATCTAGCACAAAGCAGGCGAATCTCAGAAAGAATCAAATCACTGTGAGTGTGCACACAGGGAGCCCAAATCTGCAATGGGGAGAGAGAATTCCACAAAGGAACGAACTTTAGAAAGGCACTCGTCCATTGCAAAGGACCAGTCTTAAAGCCAAGAGAAGTGCCAGGACAGCTGGAAGAGGGACGTGAAGAAAGCGCCTTTTTCTAGAGACATCACAAAACATTTGTCTTACCTGATAAGCTGCTGAAGACCACCAGACATGATGCAAAGATGGCTGCCGCCATTTTCTGTTGTGTCTCTAATCACGTTATGGTGTCCACAAATCTGATTCTCACTAATCCCAGCCGTGTAAAAGGGCCTTAATGGAGGACAAAATCACACCTGCAGAAAGGCCGCTTTCCACTGGGATGCAAAGGGCTGGGTGTAAATTAGGCAGGCCAATTTTAAAACAATTACTTTAAGAGAAAGGGCCGTGCAACAGGTGTGGCCGAACCCTGAGTGAATCAAAAAAGGTTTGAACTTCCCTTTTCTTTTTTGCAGCATGTGACATTGTCAACCCCCTCCCCCCACTTCCTTTTGAGAAGTATAAGTGAATAAATCCACCATTTTAGGCGCCAGCTATTGCGCAGAATCTAGCACAATCAACCCCCAAGCTCACCACAGTGGCTGTTTTACTGCCCAGTGCTCACACTAATGCCGGGACCGCTGACTGAACATCCCCACTCTTGACAAAAGCCCTGTGGGGTTGCTAATGGAGGCCAACGCTCACAACCTTGTGTGATGGTTTTGGATTTTAATAGGAACATGCAGATCACTGTTGCACCCACTGTTCTGTGTTTGCCTCAAATTCTGTGCCAAGTGGACTGAGTCTATGAAAGCTGATGCTTTGCCAATTCTGTTCATACCACTCATATGCCCGTAGGATTTTTGTACATGACATTATGAACATTGGCTTTGCACTTGTGTTTTAAATGTTTGCATCTGAGAGACAGCAACAGGCGTTGCCCACCTGTTGTGAGGGGTGGCGACTGAGGGAGATCTACGTGCAGGATCTCATGCGGGAGATCAATGTTCTGGAATTCGATTCTGTAAATTCAATGCTGGGGGCAGCTCTGACCAGTGTTTGGACAGGTAGACCAGAGGCTTTTAAGCTGGCAGTTTGTTGCATCTCTACTTAGAACCTGTATCAAGGACTTGGGGATTGATGTATGTGATGTGCTTTCTTTAATAATTCTATGCTCAACCTTTTCTTTCTTTTCATTAATAACCTTTAGATGTTAGATGCCAAAGAACTGGCCTGGTGAGTTTTTTTGGGTAAGATCTGAGGTATAAATTGGCCTGGGAATGTGGCTGGGCAGTTTGTTGCATCTCTACTTAGAACCTGTATCAAGGACTTGGGGATTGATGTATGTGATGTGCTTTCTTTAATAATTCTATGCTCAACCTTTTCTTTCTTTTCATTAATAACCTTTAGATGTTAGATGCCAAAGAACTGGCCTGGTGAGTTTTTTTGGGTAAGATCTGAGGTATAAATTGGCCTGGGAATGTGGCTGGTCCTTTAGGACTGGGAGAAACTGTTTGGAGCTGGTGAGATGAGATATAACCTCTCCCCTGTGTAAGATGGGGGCTGGGTGGGGCACAGGGAGCACTGGGGTGTCGGAGGGGAGGTGGGGGATGGGTTATAACCTCTCCCCTGTGTAAGGGGGGCTGGGGGGCACAGGGAGCACTGGGGTGTCTGAGGGCTTTTCAGAGATGTCTCCCAGGCCACTGTTGTATTACACCTTGGTTTTGTGTCTTAGGCGAGAGGTGCAAGTTGTTTTCTGGCCCAGCTCCTCAAAGTGGCACCGAGTGTAGTTCCATTGTGGTCAACAGGTCACATCCCCAGAAAATCTCCATTGACATCAACAGAAATCAGTGGGGGCAGGTGGCCACATCCTACATAATGGTCAGCCCAAGATGCAGTGACAGCCACAAGCTTGCTCTGTGGGGACAGAATCTTCAGAGATTTCAGTTCCTAAAAAATCAAAGATGTCTCTGAGCTTATGAGAACTGTGGTTTTTCTTTTAAGGCTTACAAATTGGCCAAAGGTAAGTGGATTTTCACAAAGAATATGAGGAATAACGCCTTTTTTCAAAAGCAAAATACAGGACTATGTAGCACTTTAAAGACTAACAAGATGGTTTATTAGATGATGAGCTTTTGTGGGCCAGACCCACTTCCTCAGATCAAATAGTGGAAGAAAATAGTCACAACCGTATATACCAAAGGATACAATTTAAAAACAATTTTTTAAATTGTATCCTTTGGTATATATGGTTGTGACTATTTTCTTCCACTATTTGATCTGAGGAAGTGGGTCTGGCCCACGAAAGCTCATCATCTAATAAACCATCTTGTTAGTCTTTAAAGTGCTACATAGTCCTGTATTTTGTTTCAGAAGGGACTATTGTGATTCTAATCTGACCTCCTGCATATCACAAGCCACAGAACTGCACCCACACTGGTCACAGACCCCGCCCTCTGGCTGTGTTAGTGAAGTGCTCAAATCATGATTTAAAGACATTCAGTTAGAAAGAATCCATCATTTACACCTGCTTAAACCTGCCAGTGACTCATGCCCCGTGTTGCAGAGGAAGGCAAAACACACAGATACCAGCCCTGTCCCCACAGACTCTTCCCTCCTGCAACCTGTGCTCCTCCCCATAACTCCTGCACAGGTTCCTGCATCTTCCTTTGCAACATGTGTCATTGCTGTTTTGCCCGTTGTACCAGTGTTGGCTGGCTTGCTGGGGCCAGAGGTTATTAGCACATAGCTCCCTGCAGGGACATGATCTGGGATGCCAGCCCATTGCAATCTTCTGGGCCTCCTCATTATTCAAGCGTGCTGGCCTTCCCAATAACTTGCCCACATTATTGCTTCTACCCTCTTTCTGCCATCACTGTGTTGTGTGGCAAATTGAGGAGTGGCTGCACTCAGTCATGACTCCCAGGGGATGGTCCATGTTCTTAAGAGGGAGGTAGTCACTTTGGAGGCACTAAAGCAGTGTGACACACTCAGCTGCTGCAGTCTAGGAGGAATTTCCAACATGTCATAGGATATTTACTGTAACACACAAACAAGGTGACAATCCCAGCTGTGGCAAAGTTATGCAGAGAGAGGTTTGCAAAGTGAACCCTGCCAGCTCCCATTCTGCCTCTGATAGCAGCCCTTACTGAAGGCTAAAGGAATTGGGATTGTTTAGTTTAGAAAAAGAGAAGATTGAGGGGGGACATGAGAGGAGGGAGAAAATTTGTTCATCTTGGCTTCTGAGGATAGAACAAGAAGCAATGGGCTTAAACTGCAGCAAGGGAGGTTTAGGTTGGACATTAGGAAAGTTCCTGTCAGGGTAGTCAAACACTGGAATGAATTGCCCAGGGAGGTTGTGGAATCCCCATTTCCAGAGATATTTAAGAGTAGGTTAGATAAATGTCTTTCAGGGATGGTCTAGACAGTATTTGGTTCTGCCATGAGGGCAGGAGACTGGACTCGATGACCTCTCGAGGTCCCTTCCAGTCCTAGTATTCTATGATTCTTACGAACCTCTGGCACTAACAGCAGCCAAATCTCACCCCATGCTAAAAATGCAGCCTTCAAAGACCTGCATGAACCAACCACCCCCATGGAAACCCTGAACCTCTCTCTCCTTGGCCCATACCAGCCCCCTGCTTTGGGATGCTGCAAAGCTCATATATTCTGGAGATCAGCTGCCAACGTGAGACAGATAGGGCAGCCAGACTCTAAACATCCAAGGACCCTCTGGAAAGTGCAATTGCATTAGCCTCCTGGCTCGATGAAACAACTCATGATTTTTCCATCAAAGCTTTTGGCCCCATTCTGGGCTACATCTAGACTGCAGGCTTCTTGCGCAAGAAGCCTTTTGTGCAAGAGCTTCTGGACAAAAACTTCTTGCACAAGAGCCCATCCACACCTCAAAAGCACATTGCAAAAGCTATGTGCTTTTGTTCAAGAGCGCGTCTACACTGCATGGGTGCTCTTGCGCAAGAAAGCATCTGTGTGAGAAATGGGCCCACAGAGAGGGTGTGATGGGGTGAGGCAACCCTGTCACTGAGACCAGTGGGAAGGGAGTCAGGATGCCGGAGAGGCGCGCGCCCGCGCTGCTACAGAAACAGCAGTGAGAGTGCTGGCAAAGACACATGGGGAGGGGGCCGGCCCGCTGGGTGCGCGAGCCTGGCAGGAGGTGACGGGGGAAACATCCAGGCAGCATGGTATGACGTCACCTGCGTGACAAGGGGCAAGGGCGGAAGGGACGGCGGGGGGGGAATGACGTCACCCACCAAGCGCAGGCGAGGGAGAAGGAGGATAAAAGCCTGGGGAAGAGCACGGGAGGGGGAGCGAGGGCAGAGGTGGCAGGTAATGGGGAAGGGAGGATTGCCAAGAGGGTCCCCAGCGGTGGGGTTGAAAGTTGGCCCGGAGCAGGGCTGCGAAGCCTGCGAGTGGGCGAGTTTAGAGGTAAACCCCTGCCTGCTATCACAGGGAGCGCTGTTCCCTGTGTCAGGGCCCTGGGTTGGGGTCCGGGAGAGTGGGTGGGCCCGGACCCGCTTCTCCGCCGCCGGCAGGCGATCGAGAGACTACATTTGGGCGTAATTTCCCCCTCCTTTTGACCTCTGCGGTGTATGTGCAGCAGGTGGGGCGGGCGGCGTGAAGCGATACAGGTGTCACGTATAAAACCACCGGGTGATTCAGATAAAAGTATGCAGACTCGTAACAGAGAGACTACATGACTTGCACAAAGTTTACACCAGAAGCCTGTGGCAGCACCCTGCCCATTGGGTCATCCCCCTCCTCTTGCCCTATTTAAAAAACAAAACAAGTTTCCTTCTCTTTTCCACCAGCTTGTTGCAAGTGACTAGAAGGTTGAAAAGTTTTCAACTTTCTCTTGAGTCTTTTTATTCTACCATTTTACACTTCTATCAGCCAGGACAAATTGTGGCAGGGGGTTTGTTTTTTTTTTAAATAAAATTCAAATAGCTTTAAAAAAAATTCTAGATACATTTCCATTGATCTTTGCCATTGTAAAATGCTTCTTTAAAAACAACATCTATTTTGTGTGTAAATTGGAGGTGATGAATTTATTTTACACCCTGCATTAGTTTTGTGTAAAATAAAGTAACTGGAAACAGCCATTTTCTTCAGGAAGTCATGAGAGCTGGCACTAGGCTTTTATGCAACTCAGGCACCAAAACTCTTAATTCCAAACTCCAGTCCCATTCCCTGCCCCTTAGACTAGAGGTGGCCAACCTATTTAACGAAGAGAGCTGAAACAGTGGCGGAAAACATGTGAAGAGCTGCAGGTTGGCCACCCCTGCCTTAGATACTTTGCTCAAGAGCAGAACTACCCCTTCTCCCAGTTACTCAGGTATCACACAGCCCTAACTTGGAGCTCAGTGGTTTTATACTGAGTATCTGGCCTAGCTGACTTTGGTGGAGTTTTTCCTGATTTACACCAGCACTAGAGTAAATTATAGCCTACTTTAAAGCTATTAAGCAAATTAACCCACAGCATCCATTGCTTGTGCAATTAAATCTATACACATTGCTGTACACAAACTGCAAAGGAGTTTTAACCAGTTAAGATTAACAAATACCCCCAAGCCAACCATCTTTCCACATCATGCCTTATCTCAAACTCAGTCTTTTCCAGTGAAAGGAAAGTTCAGTTATCTGTTCTCCACACCTCTGTGTGCTAGTTTTCAAATGAGTCACCAAAGTTCAGCGTGGGACTGCAGGAGAGAAACGAAGAGGCTCTTATTGTGCTATTTGCAGTCTCATCACACTGAGGAAGAACCCCAAGTCTTGTACATCCAAGAAGCTCAGATCAAAGCCTGACAGTGCAGGCAGAGGTCTGTCCATCACCATGGAGCTTGCTCCCAGGGGAAAGGCCTTTAAGGAAAGGAAGGCGGTGCTGTGCAGTGAGGCGCTGCTGGAGCTAGGAATACAAGTGCCCATGGCTAGGTGAAGAGGAGCGCGGCATCTGAGGGCACCTGGGTCTGGCAGGAGCATCTTGGACCTACAAGAAAACCAGCCACCTTGAATGTGCTTCAGCAAGAGGAAATCCCCTTAAATACACAAGCCTCAGAGGCAGCATGTCTACTGGCATTTACAATCCTGGCGGGGGTGGGAAGGAGGAGGAGACAGGGCAGTAAGGCTGGATAAGAATTAAAAAAAAAAATTAGCCACATCTAAAACCAAGCACAGCTGGGGAGTGACCAGGCCAGAGGCTACAGGTGAGGGGCACAAGGAAAGGACTCTGGCCCTGAACTGCAACACACAGATGTGAATGGGTTACACCAGGGGCAAGCAGGTGACACAAGCAGGGGCAGCGGGTGTGCTAGGCAGGGAGAGGCCCTGCTTTGTCCAACCTCCAGCCTGATCCCTCCCACACTCCATCCCCAGAACGCCTGTTGTATGCATTTTGGGGGCAGAGTGTTGCTGCCTTTAGCACTCACCCTCCTGGTGCTACAGGGTTGGGGAAACGTTACGCGCCCTGCTCCCTTGCCCATGCTCTGGAGCTGGGAGGCTGGTGCCTCACTGCGCACCCTCATCCCTCTCCTGGTGCTCTTGGGCTGGAGAAGCTGGGCCGTGCAGTGTGCCATCCTCCCTACCCCAGTGCTCTGGGACTAGACTGCGCAGTGCATCCTCCACCCTTCACAGTGCTTCAGAGCTATGGACGCTGTGGTGAGTGCATGCTCACCCACTACCCTCCCTGTGGTTGGGGGGCACATTGGCGTGCTGCCCTCCTCCTTGTGGGGGGTGGGAAAGGGGTGGGGATTGCTTCCCCCAGCTCTACCTTTACCAGCCACCCATGTCTATACGATATTTGTCATAGTTCGAATATAAACTTTGACATTGTGTTAAGTGATAAATATACAATAAAGCCTTAAATTACTGCAAGTATGGAAACATTTTGGAATTTTTTTGTGACCTGGAATAGTGGGATTCACTCGATTATTCTAGATGGTGTTCTTCTAGTGAGCAAGGGCTGATAAACCTGCCTACAACCCTCCCCTTGGTGCTGGGGGTCACACATATGGGGCACTACCCCACCTCCTGTGGTGGGGGGAGGGAGGCAGCTTGGATCCTATGGGGGGCGGAGCTTGGGAGCGGGGCTGGGGGCTTGCTTCCCCCAGCCCTACCTTCACCGACCACCTATGGGCATAGGACTGAGGATTCTGTTCTTGCTCATTCACTGTATAGTTAAGAGACCGCTCAGCAATGTTTTGAAGCCAGAGAGAAGCCGCAGACGCTTTGGTCCCCGTTGGTCCCGCTTGCTGGGCAGAAGGGACAGAGCCCTAGAGAGCAGGCTGCTGGGAACAGCAGCAGCTGAGATGACACAAGGTCACACTGCTCCAGCCCCGGCTCTGCAAGAGCAGGACCCTCCCCATCACGTGCTGCTTTGAAATGGAGCGACATCGGAGTCACTGTCAGCAGAAGCTGCTCTTGCCCATTTGTGGAAGAATCAGGCCCCAGGCAAGAGATGGAAACATGCAGAGCCAAATCTTCAGCTGACATTAGTCCCCACTGCCTGCATCTGTTTGCACCAGGTGAGACTCTACCTGGCTCATTTCACCCCAGCTCCGTAAAGGGTCTGTGCCCAGTGAAACTAGAGTGACAGCTGATATCATGAAATTACAGCTCGTGTGCACCAGCAGGGAATCTGGCCCACACCTGTATCTGATTTTCCTTTCCTTCTCTTCCCTTTCAAGAGCTGGAGGGGGGTAAACACTCCCTCCCTCCCCATCATGGGGAACGAGTCCAGCATTTTGCCCTGAGGATTGTGGCAACTCATAGCTCTGGTGAGGTGTGGGGCAGGGAACTTCAGTCCCCTGTAGGGAGGGGGTTCCACATGGCAGGACTGGAGCAGCACACCCGTTACCTCTGCATAGACTGTAGACAGCAAAGCCGGGTGGATTTTCTGCCTTTTGTTGCAAGGAGGCTGTGAAGCAGAGTGAGATGACTGGTTAGAGCATCCATAAGCACAGCAATAAACCCCAGCTTCCCTCCATGCTCTAGCAAAGAGAAACTGTGGAGTGGCAGGGCCAGGCCAGAAAGAAAATAGATCTTCAACTGAAAGGACTTAATTTGTAAAATATTAAATGTATGTTAATATATATGCGTTATATTGCTAAACCTAAAACACAAATATAAAAAGAATAGAGCTGTCAGCCCTAACACTGTCACAGATTGAAAATTTTGCCTCTGACATAGATGATTTAGCCTTTATTATGTGAGGTTTGACTACATCTCTCTTTAAAGTCTTGTTTACACTGGGAAAGAAAGTAGTTGTTTACAATGATATAGCAAATGTAAGAGCTACCCATGTCAGTGTGTTAGCTATTATACATCCACTGTATTATTGTGGAAAATACTTATTTTTCTTAAGCTGTGTCTCCACTTGAGGGAAGATGAATGCTGTGGTGGTTGATTTTCTGCCATTTGATTTAGCGGATCTAGCAAAGACCCAGTAAACTGAATGCTGAGGGAGCCCCCCATCGGTGCTGGTACTTCTGTCCCTTGCGCGGAGTAAGGAAAGTCACCAGAAGCATTTCTCCCTTTAACTTCCCGTTGTGAGGATAGCGCTGAAGCTCAGGTTAAGTTATTTTAACTCCAGCTATATTTCTTAGAGCTGGAATTGCGTACCTTAAGCTGACCTTCCCCTGTAGTGTGATCTGGCCTAAGTGAAGGTACTGTAGCCAGATCAGGTCAGAGAGCTATTGCAGAGAGGAAGAAAGGCAGCCCCAAAATGGTAAAAGACCTGCTAAATAGAAGCAGAGGGCTGCAGGTCAATTAGAAGCAGCTGGCAGGGAGCTGGCTGAGGCAGACTGGGGCGTGGGTGGGGGAACAAAGAGCATGAAAGCAGATAGTTTGAGTCATGCCAGCATTTGAGCAGAGGAGGGAGTCCCAGGAGGAGTGACTGGGCTCCCCACCACAGAGACCTGCTGCGAACTCCAGCCCCTGGGGCTGGGAGCGAGGGGCTGGCTCCAGCGGGGGCCTGGGGAAGAAGGGGCCTTGCCA